AAAATTCCTCACAAGAATGAAAAATATTGTGTCAAAAGCTAAACTGCTGAAGCATTCTGTGTGTGCTGCAGGAAGGTTATGGTCAATGTTTGGCAAGACCACCGACATTCTCCAACATCAGATTTTGGCTCGCCATTACAACAGAATGTATTGATGGTCATGATTTTCTGTGGAATTCTCTAGTCCGAGTAATAATGAAACTCTATGTGTCTATCCCAGCTGCTGTATTTATCACTGGAAATGAGTGCAGTCCATTTATGGAGATGTGTGACACCATTGGTCTAGAAAACATCTCAAAATGAGAATGGTTCCACATACAGAAAGCCTATGTTATCCCTGAGGTCAACAATGCCTGGACAGTACACAAAGAGGCTGTACTGAGCGCCTTCTGTGAAGAGCCCCTTATCGTTTCTGGAGACTCTAGACATGACAGCCCAGATCGTAATGCCAATTATGGAATCTACTCCCTCCTTGACAACAAGTCAAACTTGAAACTAGCGCAGGAACTGTTAAAGTCACAAAGGTGAAGAACAGTTATTGGCTTGAGGTGGAAGGTCTAGAAAGATGCCTTTCCAAGCTGGGAGAGAAGGATATTACCGTATTTTCACGACTATAAGGCGCACTTAAACGTCTTTTTTTTTCCTCAAAATGTGCGGTGCGCCCTATGGTGCGGTGCGCCCTATGTGTGTTGTAACTGCGACTTTTGAGACCACCTCATTGAGGAGATGATGAAAGAGTGGCTGAATGTAAGGAGACCAGCTGTTTTTTTCCCACTCATCACCATTAATCTGTAACTCCATGCGTGCCCATCTCACAGCTGATGTGAAAAACATGGGGAAACAAATTAACCCTGTGCTCGCTGTTCAACCGCTCGACATCGGTGTGAACCGGACCCAGCAGGTGCAGCAGAAGCAGCGAGTTTACATGCAAAGTCAATGGTTGACGCGCATATAGGTGCAGCAAAAGGTCCCGCAGCGCGTTTTGGTGCAGCACGTCGGGAGCGTTTAAGCATCTGATGCACCGCCAACGCGCTGCTGCTGCTCAGATGGAAAAATTGAAGTTTTGCTGCTGGACGCGCCGCATCAACCAATCAGAGAAGCTGATCTGGGAGCTCACAGCGAGACAGACAGCGCTCTGATGACATATGATATTAACGCAAATGAAAAGGCTGGGTGGATGCGTGGCTGAGACAGGTGTATGTGAGAAGACTAGGTGGTTTTTTCCACGCATCACCATCGCTGCGTGCCCATCTCACAGCCGATGTGAAAAAAAGGTGAATCAAATGAACGCTGTGCTCGCCGTTATCCCGGGGGTCTGACAAAGGAACTTCCACCGCTCGACATCGGTTTGAAGCGGCCGTTCACAGTAAGGCTGCGAGCGGCGTGGGAGCGATGGATGACAGACGGAGACCACAGTTTCAGGATAAATGGAAGGCAGCGCCGGGCAAGTTACGCCACCGTTTGCGGATGGATTGCAGATGGACTGTGTCTGCTGGCTCTGTTGTTCAAGCTTTCGCAAAAGCCGGCATTATTTCTGAGGAGCTGCGCTGCACGGAAAGTGACTGACAGCGAAGAAGGGGAAACTGGCATGTCTGATTTAGCGCAGCTGTTTTATTCAGAGGAATGCTGAGGATAACAGAGGATGATGACTTTGATGGGTTTGATTAATACTTTGTAATAAATACATGAATAAAGCACAATCATACTCAGTTTTGCTCCCGCTCTATTTTTCTACCTGAAAACTTAATTCAACAGCAGCGGGCGCGTCTCCTCCTCTTCAGCGCGGTGGCTGGCAGGTGTTTTTTCATCTAAATAATCTAAATCTTGCAGCTATATTTGCTGTGATCAGTGGGAATAAAGTAGTTTTAATATGTTTTTAAGTGAGAAAGGCCACCTGAAAACTTAATAATTGCAGTCAGTTCATCCAGATTATCTATTTCTGTCGGAGGCGCTCAGACCCCCACATACCAGCGGTGCACCGACAGGAGAAATCCTTTCGTTCACCGCGGCTGCTGGCAGGTGTTTTTCATCTAAATAATTTTAGCTGCAGGCACCAGGATACCGGTAATAAAAGCGAACATATTCCGTCGGCAGGTTTCAGGATTTTAAGTTAATTTAGGCGTAATCACAGCGCTGTGTCATCTGCGATGTGTCTGTCTCACGGCCAGCTGCCAGGTTTGATTAATACTTTGTAATAAATACATGAATAAAGCACAGTCATACTCAGTTTTGCCCCCGCTGTATTTTTAAATACACAGTAGAGGTATTTAAAGGTAGTAGAGGACATGTACCTGTATATAAAAAACGCACCCTATAGTCCGGTGCGCCTTATGTGTGTGTTAAATACAGAAATGGGACACATAACTGAGAGTGCGCCTTTTAGTCCGGTGCGCCTTATGGTCATGAAAATACGGTAGCATATTGGTTCTGGTGACTGACTGCCATCCATCAGTCCAGAAAATCATGCATCATTAATGTAAATGTGTACATAATGCGTATGACCTCTGGCATATTCTCAAAAATGTAAAGAAACATTTGCTGAAGTATCACAATGAGGAGCTTTATAAATGATTACAAATCATCTCTGTGTCAGCTCAGAATATACAGTAGGACCCAGAACTTGAGGCGAGACAGACAGTGGGAAGATTCAAAATGTTTATAAGAATAAACAGAACAGACTGGCAATCACTGGCAACTCTGAAGATGATTATCCACATCTGGTTAAACAGATCAGTCCATCCTCTCGAGTGAGGCAGGATCCAGATAATGGACTGCCAACAAAATGCAGTGAGAGCCGACCAGAATGTTTCCGATTCAGCAGCCTCAGTGGACTAATATGAATCTAAGCCAGGTCAGGGAAACAGTTCAGAACAGGAAGGCTCAGAGATCCAGGAGTCCGTAGCCTGGTCAGTGGTTCCAATCTAAACAGGAACGGGCAGATCCAGGGTTCCATGAGTCCATAGAGAGTTCAAGCAGGTTCGGGGTTCCAAAAGAGAGAGAGAGAATTTGGGCAGAAACGTTCAAATGGATACAGGTAGGCCCTGTAATTGAGAGGCTGAACAAGACATGACATTCAGAAAACTATGGAACTTTAAACTAGCTCCCTCTTTATGTTTGAGATAATTGGTGTTTTACTCCTGCCTCCATCCAGTTTATAGTTTGAATCTGTCATGTTGGGGTTTAATCGTCTAACCCACATGCAGAAACACTCAGAGACAGGGAAAAAGTTAGAAGATTTATTGACAATGTTTTCAGAGAAATATTAATGTTGTCTTGGTTAGTCAGGCTGGTCACGGGAGGGAAGCAACTAGAGGAGGACAGATCAGTTAGAGAGGATCCAAGAAACTTGCTGCTAAATGGCGGCTTGGACTTATACCTGCTCAGAGGGTATTCCTGACAAACCTGACAAACCTGGAAACCAGGTTCTGAGAGGCAGAAGAACACATAGTCAGAGGGTTCTCAAAAAATCAGGAAAAACAGATCAGATTAGGCTGGCTCAGGTTTGCTGGTACCATTACTGGCAAACACTCTGGAAGGGAAGTGTCAGCCTCCTCCTCCTTAAGAAGGCCTCTAGATGAGCAGATGGGAAACAGGTGTGCAGAAGTCAGCTCACGCCCTCAGGAGGAAGATCTCAGGCGCCCTCTGGTGGAGAAAGGTAGACAAGCCTCCAGATCCCAACAGAATCACCTTTGAATGCAAGTTTAAAAGAGTGGCCTTTCTTAAAAAGTTCAGTTTGTCAACCCCACCTGGAGTAATAATAGTGTAGATTTAATTGATCTAATATTCTCAACATTTAAAAATACTAGTGAAATAAACAGTTAAAGTAAGTAATATTTCATAGAAAACACATATTTACAAATCAAAAACCTGTTTAATGAATGAACTGTCTGTAGGCAGTTACTTAAAGAGACTGGGGAAAAATTCCTGGTTAGATCTAGTATTAACACAAGAATCAGCTAATAGATGGTAGTAAAATGCCATTTTACTGATCTGTAAACTAAAATAATTCCAGGGCGGTAAAAGCATAATTAACAGACAAATAACCATATTTTATCTTGTAAAGTCTTGGGCATTGCTCTGGGGTGGCAACGAGTGACTTAAACCTACAGTAACCCTCTCTTTTTACACAACAGAACCCTGTTTATATCATTGTTAACTAACTTGTTAGCTAGTGTTTAGCAATATTATAGCTAAAACATCAGCTGCTGTCTACCTAGATTAGCAAATAGGAGGCAGAAGTCAGAAGAGGGCTCGAAAGAAAAGGACATGAGTAACCAGCCAGAAACACTTGGATTAATCAGTTTGCCCTGTAATAAAAGACAGGAAACAAAGGAGCTGGTTAAAGTTCAGGAAGTAGTGGAGCTGTGCACAAAGCCCATTACTGGGAGAAATTAATCTGCTTCTTTGAGTTGCACAGGCCTTTTATACGGTCAGTTGTTAGTTGACAGTAATGGACATATACAGTATCATCCTTTACCTGCAGACCTTTCTAGGTCCTACATAATTGAAAAGCCCTGGTTTCCACCCTTGATCCCTCTAATCCTACCCCAACCCTTCTACTCAAAACTAGAGACAAAGTTCTATTTTTCTATTAATAACACTATCGATTTATTAATTTTATTAACCATAGGAAATTCCAACAGTGTGGAGAGGCATTCCTGGCTTTCACGCTGGATTTTTGTTTGTTTAAATATTCATAAATACATACAAATAAATTAAACCATTACTGTCCCTCTTTCCTAAATGTAATCTTGATGATAAGTATTTCTTTTTTATCTATGAGCTGGAAATGTCCCCAGATTTGACTTAAGAAATCTAGTCACCTTCTGCAACTCTGAGAAAACCCAAACCAGCCAGCAGAACCATATGCTTATGAGGCTTCTCGAAAATCCTGTTAATCAACATTCCTGCACTGACAAAGGCTCCTTTACTGTTCCTCCAAACCATCGCCTTCTCTTTCACCCTCCTTCATCCACAACTGAAAACATTCGACCGAGAAGCATTACACAAACCGCCACTCAGAATGCCAGGGACAGCTCTCAACTCACAACCTCCCTGAATCCTCCACTCAACTAACACTGTAAGTCACGCAGTTGAGTACTTAACTCGAGTACCTGTTTGCAGTCTTTGTTTCATTTGTGTATTTCTGTTTGCAGTTTAACCAGGGTCCTCCCAGTCACCTTGGCCCTCCAATTTCAATAAACTCTCTTACTTTACCTCTGCCTTTCTGTTTGTTGTCCCACTCAGAGCTGTTATGGAAAAAGCAATGCTGACACAAACAAAGATTGCCTGTCAAAAGCTATCCTGCAGTGGGATGACGTGTGGCACAAATGGCTCCCAACTAATTGTGTGCTTGTATCCAATTGACAGTGGAAATGTAAAAGGCTTGAATTTCTTGTTACCAATATTTAACATATACTGTAAGTTTTTTTTGTTGTTGCTTTTTTAATATCATCACACGCATGAGCAGATTCATCATGCAATAATATCAAAAGCTTAATTAGTTTCCGTACAATAATCATGTCTGTATTGTCATTTAGTTGATATGATGGTGTGCTGAAAAATATCTAAACACCCTCTGTTTTCTTTTATGTCATACTTGAACAGAAATCTATTGTTATGCAGATTCAGTTCTTTCTGTACTTTAGTTAATTGGCGTGGGGAGGAACTCTGTATAAAGCATGTCTCTTTGGTTGGCAGGCTTTATTTAAAAGCAAACAATAAAATCTTTCTTTTTTCAGATTTCTATGTACTTTTTATTGCTGGATAAGTATGTACACAGAGAAGTGTGCTAAATAGAACTATAAAGAGCAAATATTGTATGATACAGAAACATATAATGCTGTACACAGCTACTTGAAAAACATTAATTCCAATTGAACCTTTCCATTTTTTCACTTAACACAATCCTAAACTAGGATGTATTTTATATTACTTTATAGATGCACAGAAATACAAGGTGCAATGTAATTACGAAATTGGAGAATAATAGTATGGGGTTTTAAATTTAACAAATACAATTTAACAAACTGTTGCATTTCTATTCAGGACCTTTTAGAGTGATAAAAAACATCTAGTATGACTAAGACATTTTAAGTATATATATATATATATATATATATATATATATATATATATATATATATATATATGCATCCAAAGTAAAGTTTGCCGAGGTCTCTAACAGAAGACGAGGTTCCTAACAGACGAGTATCAAAAGCTCAAAAAGTTTTCTTATCCTAGACATATATATTTCTGATACATACATACAGTATTGTAAGTATATCAAAGAGACCCGTTCGCCATCCACTATCATAAAGAATCCAAGATATAGTCTACATGCTCAGTCTGAAGAAAGCAAATCCCTCAAGGTGAATGACTTAATGAAATTAACTGGGTTTCCTAAGAAAACTTAATCAATCAGTCTATATGATTTAATTAAATTGTATAAGTGAAGTGCCTTAAAATGCCATGTTGTGAGCTAGCACTGTATATATATATATATATATATATATATATATATATATATATATATATATATATATATATATATATATTAGGGCTGGGCGATATAGAAAAAAAGCTTATCGATAAAAAAAAATGCATATTGATCGATATCGATAATTATTGAAAAGATTTGAAACCATATTTTATGTGCAGCTTGGACTTTGTGCCTGGACTTTTTATAATATTGCTAAATGATTTAATTTTAATAAAAAACACAAACACAGACTTCGAATTAAATCTTTATTTAACCAACTTTTTTAACCATAACAGAATTGTTTTAAAGAAAAATAACTTAAGAGACCTGAGTTATGTTATTAAATACTGACAAAGAATAAACTAAAGTGACCAGAAAAGTGACCAAAATAAATATAACAAATAAATAAATGCCCCCCCCACCGCCGCCGCCGCCCCCGTTTCCTGCTTTAACCTGAGTTATTACTTTGAAGTTTCTGAAGTTAGAACCACGTGGGAAACTGCCCAGAACTGAAAATATATATATATTTTCCCAAAATTCCCGAAGATTCCTCGGAGGAGAGCCGCGTCGGGGCCTACACAGCTCGTACTCCTGCGGGTGTGAGCGGCTGAGATGATAAAAAAAAAAAAGTTGGTTGTGTTATCAGACTTGGTTTTCACTGGTTCCCTACACATTTTACAGATGACTGTGGTTTGTTTTTGGTCCGACTTGCCATGACCGAAATACTGCCAGACTGCCGAACTACAAAAACCCTTCTTTGGAACAATTTCCTCCGCCTCTCCTGCTGCGACGTCTTCATGTGCTCTGTGTTGTGGTTTGAGAGGGCAGCGCTTGGTGACGGCATTCCTGGGTCCGCGATTGTGATTGGTTGGGAGGAAGCAGCGTAGCATAAACCTACATGCTAGGCTACAATGAGAAGGAAGGAAAACTACGTTTCTTTTTTATCGAACTTTTATCGACCCTCTTTTTTTCTATTGCGCCTCACGTCTATCGATCGATATATATCGCTATAGAATTATCGCCCAGCCCTAATATATATATACATATATAAACTGAATGAAATTTACTTTTCCCCTTAAAGATGTTTATATGAAGGTAATATAGAATCAAAACTATTTGCGTGCCGTAAGTGTAAAGTTGAAGTTGCAGAGAGTTACAGCGTTGTGTAATTGTAGAATAAAAAAAATCAGTCTTACAATTTTCAGTACAATTTTTTTTTTTTACACGTGTTCAAATTTGAAGTACAAGTACACAAATTGTATTCTACAAGCTACACATCTTACAAACAAATTGAAACACATGTATTAAGATCTTTCCATTTTTTTTTTTTTTTTTATATATATTTTTCCATTAGCTCAGCTGTAAGTCACAAGTTCAACTTTACAAGTTATACCTTCAATTTAACTTTTGCTCCAAATTTCATACCGGTATAATAGATGCGAGATATATGCCAGAAGCTTGTGGGTAGTACCCTTGGTCGTACAACAGAGGTAGCTGCCTGCTTGGTCAGTCTGTACAAACTGGAAATACCTATATGGCCTACTGCTGTATTACCTTCCAAGCTCTCAGCCTAAGTTGACATCTGAAGGATGCAGCCATTGATATTTATTGTATATTATCAGGTTTCAAAGTGTTTTTGCTTGCTAAGCTAGGTTTTTAACTTAAGAACACCACTGTCTTTCTTCTTCCATTACGAAACAAATTAATATATTCCAGGTAGGAAGAGTAAACAATGGTAAGCGTAAGCTTTTTTTCCGTCAATAATCTCACCTGCGGGCAATGATACGCTGTTGTGCTGTCCAATAAAAAGAAAGCAAAGCCAGATATAACATCTGTAATTCAATCTTGAGACAGTCACACAAAGAAATTATAATGTTTTTAGTGACATGAATATAACAAGTTATTTGGGGCTCGGACATGAGACTTAATGCTGCCAATTGAAATGAAATCGGATACATACAGATGAAGAACGTCTTCCCAAGGGCCCGGACACTGGTGCTGAAATAGGCCAGAGGATGCAAAGACTGAGAATAGCCTGAAAGTAGGAAAGACAACGGGTAGCCAGTTGATAAACGTTCATCTGGTATGCGAGAGAAATGCTGGACCAGGAGCTTACAGTATGAAGAAGATCTTTGAAGAGTATTAACTGCAGAGGGGGTGTATTCCCAATGTCAATTGGTTGGAACTTTGACAGTGGAACTAATCAGGTGATCCAGGTAATGCTGATTAGAGTCTTCTAGGTTGAATTTTCACTTCAGCTTCATGTTTAATGCTGACATACCAGCAAATAATGCAAAATTGAAGTAGAATATAGCACAGTAAGGAAAAGCAGTGTGTGGCGCTAAACCGTATTTGCCCTTCTACCTCGCTTCCTTTAGCCACTACCCTCTTTCTGCTTGCACACACTCGTGTAAACAGTAGGCAAGACAGACATGGCGGATTCTTGAGTATCGAAAATAATCAAATTGTTGGGTCATGAAATTAATACTGAATCGAATCGCCACGATGGGTGTGTTTTACATCCCAAGTAGGCAGGGTGTCTCCCTCACAGAAAAGAACTGGGAATTGGTTCCAGAGGAAAGATGCCTGATAAGAAAAAATAACTACGTCCCATTTTACTTGTCACAATAATCATTTATTGTCAATGCATTCATTTATTTATATATATTCATATACCGTATTTTCACGACCATAAGGTGCACCGTACTAAAAGGCGCAGTCTCAGTTATGTGTGCCATTACTGTATTTAACACACATATAAGGCGCACCGGATTATAGGGCGCGGGTGTTATATACCGCTACATATCCTCTACTACGTTTAAATACCTCTACTGCGTATTTAAAAATAGAGCGGGAGCAAAACTGAGTATGTTTGTGCTTTATTCATGTATTTATTACAAAGTATTAGTCAAAGTCATCATCCTCTGTTTCTTAATTAAACAGCTGCGCTAAATCAGACATGCCAATTTCCCCTTCTTCGCTGTCAGAGTCACTTTCCGTGCCGTGCGGCTCCTCAGAAATGATGCCGGCTTTTGCGAAACCTCGAACAACAGTGCCAGCAGGCACGTTAGCCAAAGCATCTACAATCCATCCGCAAACTGTGGCGTAACTTGCCCGGCGCTGCCTTCCACTTTTCGCGAAACTGTGGCCTCTGTCGGTCATCAATCGCTCCCACGCCGCTCGCAGCCTTACTTTGAACGGCCGGTTCACACCGATGTCGAGCGGTTGAAGTTCCTTTGTCAGACCCCCGGGATAACAGCGAGCACAGCGTTCATTTGTTTCACAATGTTTTTCACATCAGCTGTGAGATGGGCACGCATGGAGTCACAGATTAACAGCGACGGTGATGCGTGGAAAAAAACACCTGGTCTCCTTACATTCACCTCCCTCAGCCACTCTTTCATCATCTCCTCGTCCATCCAGCCCTTTTCATTTGCCTTAATAACGACTCCAGCTGGAAAAGTCTCTTTAGGCAAAGTCTTTCTCTTAAAAATTACCATAGGGGGCAGTTTCTGTCCATTTGCGTGGCAGCCAAGCACAACACACAATCCACGCCCACACTTCCCCCTTTAACGTTCTCATGGCTCACAGGTGTGCCACATAAAGTTGCTGACTAGACACCATGATTTGTACACTGGTGTGACTTAGTTTGCCCACAATAAAAGACCACTCTGAAAGGTGCAGTTTTATCAGACAAAGCAATGCCATGGATGTCACAAGACTTTAATCTATTTTATTCTGTTGGTTCACATACATACAAATTTCCACACAATTGCCCTGTTGCCTTGCCCCCAAATCATTAGTGTTTGTGCAACCCTAACCTTAGTGACCAGTGAGTTCTGTGTGTAAAAGAATAAAAGTTTCAGAAATAAACTAATTGATCAAAAATGTAAAGCAAGGGCACACACAGAATTGTAAAATCTCTATTTGTAAACATGTTCCTTTGGTACTAGTATACATAAAATTAAGGCAAACACATAGTTTCTGTTTAGTGTTGCTAATGCATTTTGAGGTATAACACCTACTAAAATTCCTATCTAAAGCATGCACATACACAAGCAGGCATTTCCTGTGTCCTATACAACACCCACAGAGAAAGTATGTCTTATGTCTCTGTTCAAGTACTTTACTCTCCAGTTGAAAAAATGAAACGAATTACAGGATTAGGGAGGCTTGGAAGATGCTGCAGGGTGTGTTTTTTGTGACTGTATACATGTATATTCAGAGGCGAAGGGGGGTTCATGCTACGGTTCTACTATTG